TGCAAGGCAGGAGTGCTAACCACTAAGCCACTGTGCCGCCCCACAACTCAATTTATACAGTACATGCTGGCAATAATCCCTGCCCCCTCCACCCCCACCAGACAGTCTGGCACCTGGTTTCCCACCTACACCCAAAACTCTACAGTACAATACAGCAGTAATCAGCACAGTATGAAATCTGGATAAGTGAAAGGCTACAAGTCCCCATTACCGAAGCAAACTGCAGAATACCTGTCTACATAACAGCTGCTAAACATATACCATTTTAAAAAAAAAGGTAGAATGGGAAGGCCACTTAACAAGGGGATAAAACTGGAATGGAAAGGGCAAAATGTTATCACAAAGGGACGCTTCTTGACACTCCTCTCACTATAAGCATACACATGAATGGTTGGCGAAGCTTTTGTGTTACGCAGTCCATACATTGATCTTTTTTTTTTTTTTCGTTCAAGCAGCAGGTTGAATGAAAAGAAAATTATCTGAGTCCACATAAAGGCAGATGGGGGACACCTTCCCGCTGAGATTTTGTACTCTGATAGTGGGAAGCCTTCCCTGCCATCAGATTACAATGATCAGTGTTCCTGTCTATAGCCAGCAGCACTGATTGTTCAGAAAAAAAACAAGCAGGATGGTTGTACACAAGTCAATCAGTAGATCAACTATCGATTTGTGTACAACCAGTCTGCCCGGATTGAAATTCAGCTGGTCCCTGCTTAACTGGCCAAATTTCAATCGTGTGGCTGGCTTAAGTCTGCTAAAAGATATGCCTGAGGCAGGGCTGAAAGGCTGAACCACCCGCTTAAAGTGGAATTTCAGGCTACACCTAACTAGTCTTAAAATTCTCGCTCCCAACACCAATGCTGGCTAACCTGTGTAAGAACCTGTGTAAGAAAGATGTATATAATTATCTATGTTCACACTGGTCTGGTCTGCTCTTCCCTGTATCACCCATTGACTCCTATGGCTCATCCACTGTCGGCTCTTCCTCCTCTCCCCTGCAGCTGCTGCTAGCTGACACGGACTGGACTAGAGCAGGCTGAAAATAGGTAAGTATATATACGCTATATTGCCAAAAGTATTTGGATGACTGCCTTTAACTTTAATGGCATCCCAGTCTTAGTCCATAGGGTTCAATATAGAGTTGTCCCACCCTTTGCAGCTATACCAGCTTCAACTCTTCTGGGAAGGCGGTTTACAAGGTTTAGGAGTGTGTCTATGGGAATGTTTGACCATTCTTCCAGAAGCACATTTGTGAGGTCAGGCACTGATGTTGGATGAAGAAGGCCTGGCTCACAGTCTCTGCTCTAATTCATTGAGGTCAGGAATCTGTGCAGGCCAGTCAAGTTCCTCCACCCCAAACTCGCTCATCCATCTCTTTATGGACCTTGCTTTGTGCACTGGTGGGCAGTCATGTTGGAACAAGAAGGGGCCATCTCCAAACTGTTCGCACAAAGCTGGGAGCATGAAATTGTCCAAAATGTCTTGGTATGCTGATGCCTTAAGAGTTCCAGTCACTGGAACTAAGGGGCCAAGCCCAATCCCTGAAAAACAACCCCACACCATAATTCCCCCTCCACCAAACTTTACATTTGGCACAATGCAGTCAGGCAAGTACTGTTTTTCTGGCAACCACCAAACGCAGACACATCCATTGGATTGCCAGACAGAGAAATGTGATTTTGTCACTTTAGAGAGCACATCTCCACTGCACAGTGGCGGCGTCCTTTACACCAATGGCGAAACGCATTCCTTCCTGCATCCATTCCTTCTCTCCCTTTTCTTCCTTCCACTATCCCCTCCCTTCATTCGTTCCTCCCTCCCCTCCTTTCCCTTCCTTCCTTCCTTCCCTCCCTCCCCTTCTTTCCTTCCTTCCTCTCTACTTCCTTCCCCTTCCTTCCTTCCCCACTCCTTCCCCTTCCTTCCTCCTTTCATTCATTCCCTCCCTTTCCTTTCTTCCTTCTTTCCCTCCCCTTCCTTGATTCCTTCCTCCATCCATTTCCTTTCTTCATTCATTCATCCATTTCCTTCCTTCCTCCATCCATTCTCTCCCTCCTTTTTCTTCCTTCCCTTCCTTCCTCCATCCCCTCTCTCCATTCCTCCTCCCTTCCTTCCCCTTCCTTCCTCCATCCCTTCCTTCTTTCCTTCCCTCCCCTTCCTTCCTCCATCCATTCCCTCCTTCCCTTTTCTTCCTTCCTTCCCTCCCTCCCCTTCCTTCTTTTGCCTCCTTCTTCCTACCTTCCTTTCTCCCTCCCCTCCTTCCTGTTCTTCTTTTCCTTCCTTCCCCTTCCTCCATCCATTCCCTCCTTCCCTTCCTTCCAATATGTAGGGCGTACAGGTTTTGTTTATTCATCCCAATATAATGACAGCCCAACATATACTAGTGCTCCCTGTTCACTCCCTACCGGCACTGTCCACTGCACCCACAAAATTATTGTGAAAAAAATAATACAAAAATAAATTGTAAAAAATAATTTTAGAATTAAATAAACAAATTCTGACACCACGCCATTGTTCTACTGACACCATCCACTGGCCACCCAAAAGCATTTTGAAAAAAATTATTAATATAATAAAACATAAAATTGTAAAAAACAAAAATAAAATTGTAAAAAAATAAAAATAAAGAAAAAAAAAGAAGAACTACTGACACCATCCACTGCCCTACTGACACCATCCTACACATACATACCACCGCCATACCCACCGCCATTCTCTCCCTGTACTCCTACCCACCGCCATACACTCTGCACTCCCTGTACATACTACCCACTGTCATACTCTCCACATTGTACATTCCCTATTTAACATTATCACATTCTGCACTATGTAAGTCATTTCAAACACTATTTAACCACACCCCTTTTTTAAGCCATGCCCGATTTGTAGTGCAATTTAAAACACGCCACTCCTCTCTCACCCCCTACCCGTTCCTCTCTCAACCCTTCCTCTCGCTCCTCTCTCTCCTCCTCCTCTTCCCCCCCTTTGTCACGATCGCGGCGTCAGACCCCAGACCTTCTCACCAAAACTCGTGACCGAAGGGCTAACTGAATATACAACCGCGATGTGACGTGCGTAACAATGCCACACCCAGCTGCACCCTGCACAACGATTTTCAAGCTAATGGGTACCGATCGATGTGCCAGCAGCCTGAATCAATTGTTACTGGGTCAGGTTAATTACGCAATTAACCCCTTCACACTGCCACCACCTCCTTTTGGTTCAGAGAAAGAGGAAACTTGCAATATCGCTATAACACTATAATAATTGCAATAATTGTCCGCATAACCCGGTCATTGACACAGGCCGGTTATACAGAGAGTTAAACCAACAGTAGCATCTCTTTAAAGGCAGGGATTCGTAAATTGCAATTAAGAGCTATAGAAAACAGTTCAACACTTTCAGAAGAAAGATTTATTACTAAAAGGGTCAAACAGGTGCAGTAAAAAATATTTACAGAGAAGATGTAACTAAGATATATATATATATATATACACATACATACATACATACATACATACACACACACACATACACATACACACATAGAAAACAGCACAGCACAGCAAAGAGATAACAGGGAGAAGTTAAAGGGTTAAGTTACTTGCCCTTAAGCCTTGGATGGAAGCAGATCACGTTTCAGAGCGAAAGGCACAGGTCTCCCCAGGTGGTATATTGATGTTAAGAATTGGGAGATGTTTTCAACTTAAACTTCCTTAGGATTGGCAGCCTGTTTTAAAGTTTCCCAGCAGGGGGTGGTTCTGAAGTGAAAGACCAATCCCCTGTTTAGGGAGGGATCGTCATGCGCAACCTTAAACCGGAAACAACATCTTTCATAATTCATATTCTGGTCTATAACTTTCCATCTGCACAAGCGACAGTCCTCCGTGGATATTATTATTATGCAAACAAGTCTGAGGATTAACATTAGATATGAATTATGAAATTATATATTGCACAGTTCATGAGTTCTATGTTTCGGCTCCCCTGATGGTCCGAGATAAGCGAGTGACCCGTCAACTGTTCGCCTGCTCATTGGCCATCTGACGAGGTGTCCGGTTTTTATGTAAGTCTTTCATATTCCAAGATATGAGACATAGGGGAGAAATTGATTTGGGAAGTGTTCATCTAATTCTGTCACCTACGCTGAGCTCAGGTTTATTAGCTCAGAGTCCCTTCAACTCCTGAGAAGGCTTGTTATCTTGTTACGAGGTGTGAAATTACACAGGTACTTTGGCCAGTGAGACTCCAGCTGTCTTGGGAAAACTGGTCCTATCTCTTCCTAGGTGAGAAAGGATACAGCTTTCACAGACAGCTCAGCACCAGCTAGAAATGCCTTGCCCGGCCAGTGACTGTTCACCTCAATTAAAGGCACAGGAGCCAGATCCCTGCTGCTCAGGAAAAGTCTCCATTGCTGGGTGAAGAGGAGTTCATCTCGGGTCTCAGGTGGTACAAGGAGACACTGGCTAGCCCTCCAACAGAGACTGTGTTGCAGAAGAGAAGCTTTATGAATAGTTTCCAGGACGTTTGTCCTCAGGTATCGGTTTCCTTGGGCATCCTATACCCCCCTTACCATATCCAAGTTCTAATCCCCTCAATAAACAAAAAAAAAGCTTGAGGACTGATTTCTGACTCCGAATGCAAGCTTGTGTGGAAAATCATGCTGATTGCCTGGCTGTGCAGGACTATAGGGGGACCCAAATTCATCAGAAACCCTAAGGGGATAGTGCTACATGCATATAAAAATGTTCATTTGAAAATCTACTAATGCAGGGCCATCTTTTGGCAAGCAGCCATTCATGTCTCTTAGCCAAGACAGGCAAATATATACTTGAAAAAAAAACATTGTTATGATATCTACCCACCCTTTAACCACCTCCTGCCCGCCATATAGTCCAATGACGGGCGCAAGGTGGTTCTCTCTTTCTAGGAGGACGTCATATGATGTCCTCCCATTCCCACTGCGCATGCGCGGCTCAGGGAGCATGCAGCGCGGCGATCGGTGGTGCGCTGTGTCCCTCGGACATAGCGGATCACCAATCTATGGAAAGAGCCGAAGCTATCGGCTCGGTCATGTGATCAGCTGTGTCCAATCACAGCTGATCACATGTAAACAGGGAAATGCCGGTTATCGGCATTTCTCTCCTCACAAGCTGTCACGCTGACAGCTCGAGAGGAGAGCCGGTAATCGGCATTCCGCGGAGGGGACATGTACACTGATCATCAGGGCACTGATGATCAGTGTGCCCCCAGAAGTGCCACCTGTCAGTATCCATCAGTGCCAGCTGTCAGTGCTGAACAGTGCCACGTGCCAGTGCCATCAGTGCCACATCAATGCCACATATCAGTGCCTACCAGTGCACATCAATGCCACATATCAGTGCCCATCTGAGCTGCCTTTCAGTGTCACCCATCAGTGCCAGTCAGTGCCACCTATCAATGCCAATCAGTGCCACCTATCAGTGCTGCCAATCAGTGCCACATATCAGTGCCAGTCAGTGCCGCATATCAATGCCATCAGTGCCGCCTAACAGTGCAGTCAGTGCTGCCTATTTATATCAGTGCTGCCCCCATCAGTGATGCTTGTCAATGCCCATCAGTGCCACCCTCCAGTGCCTCCTCATCAGTGCCCATCAGTGCCACCTATCAGTCATCAGTGCAGCCTATCAGTGCCCATCACTGCAGCCTCATTAGCGCACATCAGTGAAGGAGAAAAAAAAATCACTTATTTACAAAATTTTACAACAAAAACTAAGAAAAAACTTTTTTTTTTTTTTAAAACATTTTCAGCGGTTTTTGGTTTGTTTAAGAAAAAATAAAAAACCCAGAGGTGATTAAATACCACCAAAATAAAGTTCTGTCTGTCACAAAAAAAAGTTAAAAAATTTCATATGGGTACAGTGTTGCATGACCGCGTAATTGTCATTCAAAGTGTGACAGTGCTGAGAGCTGGAAATTGGCCTGGGCAGGAAGGGGGTATAAGTGCCCTGTAGGCAAGCGGTTAATGTCTAGATCCAGTGCGAAGACATGTTACGACTCTTGCCTAACACTGGTAACAGAGCATCCATAGTACTTGTGTTCCTTTAGGGCCCATTTACACTCTCGTGTTGCAGTAAAAGGCAATACAATGTGTCTTATTATGCACTACTGAAAAGCATGAAAAACAGTGTGGTGCATTAATATGCTAATTGTCTTCAATGGAGCCCTGATGCATTTAGGTAGTGCAGTACAACGTGTGTTTTAGTGCATCACAACACACCGGTGTGAACAATATGTACTTTGCTAAAAATACTGCATGTCTATTAAAATATGCAGTGTGGTGGCATGCTATTCAAAGAGAAATAAGCTACCTTTACAACTTCCCACTCAGGCCCAATTTTGGCATTTCCCTCCTACATGTAAAAATCATAATTTTTTTGCTAGGAAAATACTCAGAACCCCCAAATATTTTATATATATACTGTATATATATATTTTTTTAGCAGAGACCCAAAAGAATAAAATGGTGGTCATTGCAATTTTTATGTCATGCACAGCAATTTTTCAAACACAATTTAACAAAAAAAAGACACTTTAATGAATTTGAATGCAAAAAAAATATATAAAAAAGATGACATTTTAGCAAAATATAAAAGATGTTATGGCAAGTAAATAGATACCTAACATGTCATTCTTTAAAACTGCGCACACTTGTGGAATGGCGCATAACTACGGTACTCAAAAATCTCCATAGGCCACGTTTTAAAAACTTTTACAGGATACCAGTTTAGAATTACAGAAAAGGTCTAGCGCTAGAATTTTTGCTCTCGCTACAACATTCGTGGTGATACCTCACATGTGTGTTTCAAATGTAGTTTACATATGTGTGAGCGACCTACGTATGTGTTCACTTCTATGTGCCAGCACAAGGGGACAGGAGCGCTTTAAAAAAATTGTATTCATTTATTTATTTTATTTTTATTTTTACACTGTTCCTTTATTTTTTTTATCACTTTTATTGCTATTACAAGAAATGTGAACAGTCCTTGTAATAGGAATAAGGCATGACATGTCCTCTTTATGGAGACATCTGGGGTGAATAAGACCCCAGATATCTCTTCTACCCTGGAAAGCATGAGATTAAAAAAATAACATTGATCTCTGCTTTACAGGGAAAAAAATGGTAGTGTTTCCATCTGCCACAGCTGTAAGTGATGTCATGACATTGCTTCTGGCCTCTTAGAGTTATAGAGATGACCGGGAGACCATCGGGTCCATGGCCAGCTCTGTGGTACAGTAACCCAGTGGTAGCGCCAGATCGGATCCCAGGCTCTCCGATCGCATGGGGGAGCCCGGAGAGGCGCCGATGGGTGGCGAGAGAGGAGGGACATCCCTTTCCACTGCCTGTAAAAGCCATCCAGCGTCTAAATCGGGAGAATTGCTGGCTGAAAAGAAAGATATCTGGATGATGCCTGTAGCTGCAGGCATCATCCAGATATTTCCAATTGAAGTCCAGGATGTCATATGACATCTTACAGGCAGGAAGTGGTGAAAGCGATGCATGTTAATGTGCAAAATGCCACATGTTAATGTGCTTGTGGTAACACCCTGAAACAGTCTGAATGGGTCCTAAATCTTACCCAAAGCAGAAAAAAATATTTCTGTGCAATTTATTACAGTTTCTTTCAGTGCTTGAAATCTGGAGCTATTACTGGGTCATTATGGCTACCTCCAAATAATCTGGTAGCAGAGATGCTCGATGAGAAGTTTTACAATGGTAAATTGCAGCTGAGACATGTAATATTATAAACAGCTCAAGCCATCCTCCTGAAACATCTGGATGCAGTTGTCTAGGCCTTTGGGCCCTCTATGGGCAATCCGTGCTGAAATAATTGTTGAGGAACTACTTCGATAGCTTCTCAGAAATTTGCATAAAGGGCTTTATTCATCATTGTGCCTAAAACAGGAACAGAAATGTAATGCCCAAGGGCCACCAATTAAAGTGGTTGTAAACCTGCACATATACCCAGTGAAGTAATAAATTAAAACATGCAGTGGAAAATAACAGAGAGTTGACATTTGAGCTGTTTTTGGTAGAGAATTGCTTGTTGCCTTGTGTGAAAAATCAAGTTTTGTTTCATTGTGAAAATCAGGAAGGTTCATGGCATTAACCACTTGCCCTCCTGAGGATTTACGCCCCTTCCTGACCAGGCCATTTCTTTGCGATACGACGCTGCATTACTGTAACAAAAAATTGTACGGTCAAATGAAATTTACGTCACTTTTTTCCCACAAATTGAGCTTTCTTTCAGTGGTAATTGATCGCTTGCATTTTAATTTTTTTCTCTATAAAAAAAAAAAAAGACTGACAATTTTGAGAAAAAAAACAATATTTTTGACATTTTGCTATTAAACATGTTCAGTAACAAAATTAAATCAAATTTCATCATAAATTTGCACCAAAATGTATTCTGCTACATGTGTTTACTAAAAATATCCCAATACATGTAAATGAAATGGTTTATATGAAAGTTATAGCATTTACAAATGGCGGTCTATATACTGGAATTTGTTTTTTCTTTTACTAGTAATGGTGGCAATCAGCGACTTATAGCAGGACCAGGGGCTGACTGACAACTCATGGGGTCCCCGGGCAATAGGGGGTCATGGGGCCCCTGTGTCCTTGCCCACACTCAAAAAAAGCCTATAAAAAAAAAAAAAAAAAAAAAAAAAAAAAAAAAGGTACCAGGGGCATTTAGTGGGGCCCCCTACTGACCCCGGGCCCTCGGGCAGTTCCCGAGTGCTTGAATGGTCAGTCCGCCCCTGAGCGGGACTGTGGCGGACATTTTGACAGCCATCCAGAGCAGTGTGCCTGAGCTGACAGGGAGGAGGACTGTTAGTAAACAAAACAGTCCTCCTCCCCATTGGAGATCTTCGGAAATCACCGGGCGCCGGCAAAGTAATTACCAGCTGGAACTCGGTGATTGACAGCCGCGAGAGGCGGCGCGGATAGGGCGCGCCCCTCCCCGGAAATGCAAAATCACATATATATGTGATTTTGCGCACCCGTGTCACCCTGTAGTAGTATTTCTGCTATTGGTCGGACCTTTGGGAACACATTACATGTTCCCAACCCCACGTGACAGCAGTACGGGGAAAAGTTCCCCGTATTAGCTGTCATTTTTTAAAAACAGCACAGCCATGCCCTGATTGCTGGTGCAATGCTTTCCACAGAAACCTTCACAACGTAAACCCTTCCTTTTCCACTCTGCAACTGACCACCTCTATGACAGAATCTCTCCCCTGTCCTGCCCCGACCTGACCACTGCTGTCTACAACAGTTCGCTTTCATCCACACTAGACGCACTTGCTCCTCTAACTACATGAAGTATCAGGCCACGAGCATTACAACCTTGGCAGACTGACCACACCAGAAATCTTAGGCGACATAGTCATACGCTGGAGCGACTGTGGCATAAAACCAAATCCCAACAATCATTCACCCTATATAAATCTGTTTTCTTAACATACAATTCCTCTCTCCATGCTGCTAAACAACCCTACTTTGTCACTCTTATTAACCTCCCTAGCGGTCTGATTATGTCCATATTTCTGTGCTCAAAGCGGTACATTTTTTTTTGCATGGAAATATGTATTTATTTTTATTGTAGGCTGTAATTTTTAGGAATAACTCACTGAAATCTGTCTGAACAAGAGTCTAGTAAACATCCCGGGTATGATAAAACTTGAAACACGAAATCATAAATTATAATTTAATAAATAATCATAAAAAATAATATAATAAAGTTTAATTCAATAATATAATCAAACCAAAAACACTGAAATTTGAAATATATAGCGCCAAGTTCGCACATCACTGAGCAAAGTCGCAAAATCGTTTTCAGTGTCTGATGATGAATTTCCCCACAAATCATTATCACTCAATTCTGCAAGTGATTCTGATTTACTATCGCTGTTCTCTAGTTGGTTTAAAACCACTTTTGACCTAAACGGACGCTTTTTGGGCGCCATGGATGTTTTTCAGTTTCCAGGCAGAAAGAACAATAAAAATGCAGGAAGGGCACAGGACAAAGCACTCGGGACAAAATGTATGTGAAATTGTTTGATACAGTTATGTTTTGCTGTGTGATTTTAGTGAATGTCACATTTTGTCATTTTCAAATTTCCCGCCAGTTCCCTCCCCGTACATCCCGACGTCGCAGGGGACGGAACCCAGATGACAGATGCCGGCATCCGCCGGATTACATTGCCGGGGACACTGCAGGGGGGACATCGCGGGAGCGCAGGACAAGGTAAGTGATCGAGGGATCGCGGAGCAGCGCGCATGGTAAGCCCGATTGTAGCTCGGGGTTACTGCTTGTGGTACTGAAACTTTACTCCGAGCTACACTCGGGAATACTGCCAGGGAGGTTAATACCTTGTCATCCAGTCCTCATCATCTCTTCTCTACCTTTAACTCTCTACTGTCTCCACCTCCACCCAGTAACTCACTGTAACGGACCGCCTGACAGTACCTCTATCAGTCCCCTGATAGAGCCTCCCCAGAGTGCGGAGTCTAAGTACCGGAGCACTTGTTCAC